CTATCTATCTATCTATCTATCTATCTATCTATCTATCTATCTATCTAATCTATTATCTATCCATCTAGTCACATGCAGTCTGGCATGTCACGGGATGCCTGTTAGATCTCTTCCATGTAATATATATTTATTATATTATGAAGGAGCATTCAATCATAAGGACCTCCATCTGCAATTTAAAACATTCTAGCTGGGAAGAATTTTATTATCTCAACTATGTAGCATAGTATTTAATTTGAATCTGTTATTTATGTGTGATATTGGCATTATTTGCCTGAGTTACCATTTTAAATTACTTGCAAATGCATAAATTGCATGACTGGAATGGATTGTAACACTGAAATGTGAAAACATAGAATAATCTCATCTATATATTAAGTACAGGAATAATTATTCTTGTATTAGAATACAGTTCAGCTGTTATAGAAATTAATTCAAGGATGTGTTTTCTCAAGTGCTTAAGGAAATTTTGAAGTAATTGTATTTTTAATTGTCCATTCAAATATTATTTACCGAGGCAAGAACCTTAGTCTATAATATGAAGGCTTCATTGTTTTAATGAATTCACTTCCCTTTTTGTTAAGACAAACAATGTAAAACAAACTTGCACAAATTCTTTGATGTTAAAATTGGTATAAACATTTATTAGTAAAAAGCCCTATTAAATTTATTATATTCTTGGTCATGTTTAAAATAGATTTCAATAGAAATTTGATCTTTTACCATTTTCCATATCATATGTATACTTTTGTTTTTATTTGGAACAGTGTTTCTCAACCTTGGCCACTTTAAGATATTTGGATTTCAATTCCCAGAATTGCATGGCTAGCTGGAGAATTCTGAGAGTTGAAGTCCACACTTATTAAAATGGCCAAGATTTAGAATCATATTATGGCTGGTAGAAAACAGAACAAAGACAGTTAAGAAATGTGGTTAATCAGGCGTTTTATCCTATACTCAAACCTGAAATTTTGTCATGACATACTATGCAAGGATTTAACTCTATATTTCCTTGCACAAGCATAATATCATGAAATTGTCTATGTGTTTTCTTTGTTTGGAAACTGTTGTTTGAATGGTCTTTTGTTTTCTTTCCTCCTTTTGATTTCCATTTTTTGTCAGTCTCGAGAAATTGCTTCACAAGTAAGTATCTGTCATGTGTTACTATGTCCCTTGTGTTGGCCTAAAAAGTAAAGTATGTAGCAAATCAAAGCAAATATATGTGTCCCAGGATAATGTTGCAAGATACAATCTGGGGTCTGAGCTTTTGAACCCATGCTGGAGCCCATCTTCAGGGTTCTACAGTTCCCTGGAGATGAGCTCCAGCACAAGTCCAAAAGCTCAGAAAAGTACATCTCTGGTCAAGGTGACTGACCCAGATTAGATCTTGCAATAAAATCTTTAAACTGTCATACAGAGAAAGGCTGTATTGCTTCTAATCTCTGCCAATAATCTCTTCCAAATAGTTTCAGTCAGTCAGTAGTATAGAGTATAGGTCACAGTCATAATGCAAGATGAAATATTATATACTTTTCTAAACATATATCACTTGCATATTTAAGAGTTCTCAGGAATATGTGTTCAACATAACTAAGGAGGTAAGCAGATATGTGTGAGGTTTTTGAGCTACTCCATTGCTTCTGCACATAGATATTGACCTTGTTAAAAGCAGGAATATGATTTAACTTCCTTGAATACATAGCTTTACATATACTGTACTTCATATCAAGGAATGGGGAGATGGAGTGGACATAATAGTGGAATGGAAAAATACATGAAGAGATCATGAATCTTCAGTGTTTGGCTCTGTGTGTCTGTGTCTGTGTCTATGTGTGGACATAATTTAGACACAGCATTAGTGTGTACAAAAATATGAATGAAGGTACAAATTTATATAAATGTACTTGTAAACATACTTGGCTTTTATATATAATTGTTTAATATTGATTAAGTAAGTATCAAAAGCATAAACACATCATTTCCTTTGTATAATTCATATTGTGATTTCATAGGGGTGGATATTGGCTAGGCCAGTGGTTGTCAACCCATGGTCCATGGAGTCTTGGGGGCCCACAATGTCATCACAGGGGGTCCATAAAGATTTGAAGAAATGTTATGATTTAAATATTGAGATTAGTCTTGGAGGTCCATGGTCCATGGCCACAAAAGTTATTTAAAGGAGAGTCCATGGTGAAGAAAAGATTTAAAACCTCTGGGCAAGGCTCGTAAGATTGGAACCAAGAAAATGAAGAATGGGAAATAGCATAAGGAACTTAAGGCAAGATTACTTATGTGGTGGAAAAGTATTCCCCAAAGGATTTGATTTCTTTCATGGTTTTCTCTTTAAAGTCTCAAATCTCTATCAGTGTGGAAGAGTGGGAGGACACCAAGGATAGTAAAGAACAATGTAACTACCGTAGCAACCACCGTAACTCAACATCAAGTGATCAGTCAGATCATCCTTTATTAAGACGAAAAAGCATGCAGTGGGCTCGGCGGCTAAGCAGAAAAGTACCAAAGCATTCAGCAAAAACAGCAGAGAAAATAAGTCAGCAGAGAATGAATCTTTACAGAAGGTCAGAAAGACAAGAACTAGCCGAACTGGTGAAAAACAGAATGAAACATCTGGGACTCTCAACAGCAGGATATGGTAGGTTACTGTGATATATACCCACACCAATGTACATAAAGGGGAGATAGATAAATGTTAGGGAAGTTCATTGGATCAAGAGTAGAATGGTAAATACTCTCAAAAGTTCCTGAGAAAATTTAATAATCGTGGGTGAAAGTCACCTTCTCTTACAGATAACTAAGTGTTTCAAGTAAAATCAAATGTACAAATTGACAATTTTTCCTACATTTATATATCCATCTTTTGTAGAATTAGAACGTATGTTTTTTGACATGAATAAATAAACTTCCTATTAATTTTCATCTACAGCAGGGGTGTCAAACTGGATTTCTTCAAGGGCCAGATCAGCATTGTAGTTCTCCACTGGCCAGGCGGGAGGAGACGGGATGGATGCCTCCTTCAGCACCCTGCTGGCCAAAATGGAATGTGGGGGAGCTGTATGAGGCTCCCTATACCCTATTTTTGGCTGCCAGAGGCACCACAGGCTGGTTCTTTGCTCTATTCCAGGCTGGCCCCATGGGCCAGATTTAAGCATCCCACAGGCCGGATCCAGCCCACGGGCCTTGAGTTTGACATTCTGATCTACAGTGTGTGTGCTTGTCTTCAAGTCCACTTTGACTCTTGAAGACTGTCCTAGGGCTGAGGGAGAATAACCAGACTAAAGCCACCCAGCTGATTTTGTGTCTAAGGCTGGTCTCCCAGTTTCTAGACTGGTGTCTTAACCACTACACCAAACTGGCTCTCCTCATGCTACAGTAATATTATTTTATTAAATAGTAATGCTTTAGAGTAGTATTTGAGTGATAATAAACTTCCATTAAGAAAATATCACCTGAAATTTCTTCACTAAATTATTTACAGGCAAATGAAAACTATTGTAGCTTTTGAGAAAAGACATTAAATCTTTCTCTCTTTTTGTAAAAAAACCAACCAAACAGATAAATTCCTCCCTTCTTTTTCCCTCGGAGTAACAATGTACAGTACTAAAGCTTGCTCAGTGTTCTCCAGGGTTTAACACAGAGAAGCAAAAGATGTCAACCAAACAACTCAGGTCAAAAATTCAACACATCACTCATAACAAAGTTCAGTAGCAAAATTATCATCAAAGGTCAGTAACAGAGTGTTAGTTGGAAGGTGATAGAAGGAGAGCCTTTTCTGTCCTGGCATGTGCGCTTTGGAGCATTATTCCCCTTGAGAGTGATGTTCAATGGGCACATGCCAAGAAAGAAGTTTGGCCTTTTTTCAAGTCCTTAAAAACATGGTTGAATCATGTAGAAGTGAGAAGGCAGCTCACTTTTATATGATTCAATTTATAAATAAATACATAGGAATGGATTCAATCCAAAGTTTACATTGCAGAAGCTACTTGTATTCTCCCAAGCAGAAGTGATATTGCTCAGCTGCTCCCAAAACAACCACTACTTCTGAACTGTTCTGTAAGACAATCTGGCAATTTTCCATCTTTCATACCCTGGGGCTCAACTTCACCAAATTTCAAAGACTCGCAGATTAGTCTCCACGGACTATTTAAGAAGGCCATACGTTTTCAAACTTTGAAGAATAATGGAGTCAGCAGTAGCATTAGATTCTGGAAACAGATTCAACATTTTTAAAATGAATTGAGTGGAAAGAACATACTAGGAATTTGCTGGACCTTTGTTCAAATATATTCTTCTCAATGTAAACTTAATGGAATAACCAGGTATAAAAGTATTGTACCTAATTCATTAAATATAATTATAATAAAAGTGACCATTTCCCTCTATTTTTGTCTACCTTTTTTTTTTACTTTTTCTGACCACAGCATATAACATAACCATGGTCTATGTGGTTTTCTGTTTTTCTGCCTTTTCTTGTTTTTTAAAAAATTGCAAAAATATAACATTGCTTTTGATTTGATCAACTTTGATTGAGACATGACCTTTTCATCTGAGTAAATGTTATGATCAGTCATTCAAAACAGCCTTTATATTCTCTCCTCCCCCTTGTAGATGAAATGAATGATCATCAAAACACCCTTTCATATATTTTGATCAATCCTTCTCCAGACACCCGACTTGAGTTGAATGATGTTGTGTAAGTATATAGTATGTGCCAGACTTCTGATTTGTACTTTCATGTAATACTTTTGTTTTTAAACTGACCTTTTAGCTTTGAAAATAAATTTTCCAAATAATAAAAATGTTTACAGTCTGCTCTTCACTTTTGTGCCTTTTCATCTTGTTTGGATGATCTTGGTGATTCTGGCAATCACTGCACTCTCGTTGAACCCTATTTTTTATTCCTGTTTTATTTTATTTTATTTTAAATTTACACATCCAGCTAAGGATGTGTTATTCTATAATTTAACTGTCTTTGGAAAATTGGCAAAGTAAAATCTGAATTGGAGCCAATGAAAGAAGTAGTAATGAATCAGAAGATAATGTACAGTTGCTTAGCTCAAAAAAAAACACAAAAAAACAACAACAACAAATAACAACAACAAAACACTTCACAAGCTTTTAATGCCAGGCAAGGCATTGTTTAATAGGATCTTTATGTCTGGAGAAAGCTAAAGTGAATTGTTGGATCTCACTGCTTGATTATCTTCCTTTGTTTTATTTAAACATGTTGCTTCTAATCATCAGTTACAGAAATATTTTAGTTAGTCCAAAGGGAAAAGTATTCTAACATGTTTAAAGTACATTTGCAGAATTTTGAGCGGAATGTTCTGTTCATCTGGATTTTTTTTCTTGTTAAACCTGATGAATGAGAATGGTCTTTCTTTGTTGTGTTTAGATACTTGATCCGCCCAGATCCATTGTCATATGTTCCCAAAAGTGCATCTTGCCAGAAAAACAGCTTCTGCAATGCCATTGGGCAAGACAACAGAGAAGAAACACAATTTTGATACATCACATGATTCAATAATGGAAAGACATTTTTATACAAATAACTGTTTTGGAATTGAGTGGTGACGAATTAGTATAACTGGACTTTACTGAGAACTGGGATATAATGGTCAATGGATGTTAATGGAACAACTGTTTTATTTAAATTATAGAAATGATTCTGAAAAATTGTCTGAGATTTTTTAAATAATTATTCAGATCCTGGAATTAAAATGAGCAGAACTATAAAAAAAATCTAAGTAAGTATGCCATGATTTGCTAATAGAAAGTAGAAAAAATAATAATGCTGTACTCAAAATCATATTTGTTATTTTGGTTTCAATTAACCACTCTGCAACCATTTCTTACCACAATATCATAGTGCATATTGTAAGTTCTGCATTCGAGATTTATAAAATTCTGGTTTGTGCAAATAAAATGATAATGTAAGGAAGATTCGGACAATTCCCTTTTCTACTATCTTAAAATTGGAATTCCAAATGAAAGCTCAGTAAGTTTGTTGCTTGCTTAAGCTTTGAGCAATAATAATCATCTGTGTATTTTTATTGCCTCCTTTAGCCCATTATATTTTTATACACAACATATATTTTTCCAGAATTTTTAATTCCATGCTATTTTCAAACCATTGTTTGTTTCAATTTGACACACCTCCCCCCCCACACACAGTATTAAAACAATTAGAGCAAGTATACATTTCACAAATAGAAAAATAGACAATGGATCCCAAATGCTAAGAATGTAAAATGGTGTGGAAACCAATTGCCTTTAAATATTTATTAAAATTTGTACAGGAAGGAGGAATTTGGAAGATTTTAGGATTCATTGAGAACACCAAGTTATTTTGAAAAAAAAATGTTTATTTGTGAATGCAGTACCAATAGCTAAATTAGGGACTGCTAAAGATGAGTTGAAGAATATGGACTCTCTGAAGATATAGCATTACAGGTGCTTTGGGATGATTACCCAATCTATTCCTTTAATGGTAGGTCACTTGGAATGTCAAAACAGAAAATAAGTATTATGTATCTCCAGATTTCTGGAGTAAAGGAGATGACAGTTTCTCTGGGAGAAAAGACTTGGATTCCCAAAGCAATCCATAGATTTTTTTCGGTTTAGTGTAAACCAACGGTTTTAGTCTTGAATACCAATTCCAGTGTGTATTGTGTATACATAAAGAGTAGTTAATATAAAGATTCACTAGCCTGCAATTTTGCTGATCAAGAGGCAGAAATCTGGTAAGCAAAAGGTAAAAACAGGGATCATATTTTTGACTGGGCTTTAATGATAATGTCTATTGTGGAATTGTAGGAGTCACTTCAGATGGCCAGTGATATGCCAGACAATATCTTGGTTTTAAATGAAACCATGTGAATGGTATCATCTTTCTTTACAGATCTTGATAGAATCAGGCTGCACAGAAACACGGTCAGCCCTCAGCCTTTTTAAAGGTGCCATCCAAAGTTTCTAATGGGAGTTGGGATGTTTATATAATTTTTACTTCTGTAACATTTGTAAATATGTAAGCTTTTCTGCTTTATATTATTAATTAATATAAAAGCTTACACCCGTAGGACAGAGGAGTAAGTTAGGAACAAGGCTGAGAGAAGTTTTAACTTATTATTCGCATTAAATGTACAGGTTATGTTTTCTATATTATTTGAAAAAACTGCTACCAGTTTATGTGTACAAATAAAATGATGCCAAAATTGCTCAGCTAAATTATTCATGCATGTGATGATTGTTTACTGCATTTGATGGTGTTTTAAATGACTGTTGTATTCATTGTAAGGAAGCAGCTATGATTCCAGCCACATGCACTGATAATTTCTTTAGTTCTCTATTTTTGTCAGCTGTGAATGAATAAAAGCCATTTTCTTATGTAGAATATTCCTTCTAATCTGTAATGATTTCTACAAAATTCCCCCTCTGTGGTTGTCAGCTGAAGCCAAAATGCTTACATCAATGTGTGTATTTATAGAAAGAGACTGAAAAGATTATGTTTTAAATCAGTAGACATTTTCTTAGCTTCCTTGGAAAATGTGACTTGCCTTTATCACAAAATGCCTTGGATATTACCTAATCTTCCAGAAGTGGTTTATCTGAAAATTTAATACCTAGATGGAGTTATGAAACTACATAGATTCTGGATTGCTGGGCAAAGCATTAGAAATATGGTGAATGGATGTTGGGGAGGGGCTGGACTCAAAATATCAAGATGGTGATTACAACATATCATTGTCCAAATTTTATTGACACTGAGTGAACCCAGTAGATAAATAAAATTACCCATTTCAGGATAGGTAAATAAAATTGTCCAGAACAGCTGTGTAATGACCACAAGCATGGATAAATATAGGAAGAGTGTCTTTTGAGCACAGTCTGCATTAAGTATGGCATTGTAAAAATTCTGGATGCGTGTATGTTCTCTGCACATCACTAAGACAGATCTTTTAAGTCAAAAATATTTGAGCCGTATTTCAATAGAAGAATCATGGTTCAGAGAACAAAGTGGATAGCATTTACTTCTTGCTCATCCATATCTTTTGACTTAAGCTACAGAAAACAGTGTGGTAGCTTTTTTAGCAAATAAACAGCAAATAAAAAATTATATCAGTTCTTCCAGAAACAAATACAGAGAGCATCCTCAATAGTTACTGGCTGAGGAAACATTTTAGTTGTGAAGCAGTGAGGCATGTGATCTTCACAGATACATCTTATCCAGTGGTGGGATTCAAATAATTTAACAGAGTCAGGTTGGCTGTCGTGGGAAGCGTGGCCCAACCGTGTCCTCCCGTGATAACCTCCCATGATGGCCAACCTGATCTTGGATGGACTGGTTGTTAAATTAGCCCCCTG